GTGTCCTGAGTTATCTCTAGGGGGTTCTCCTTGTAGAACTCTTCTATAGGATTGGTGGAGTTTGCTGGGGACATAGTGTTTTGGCTTTCCATTTTATTATTCTTTCATTGTGATTTTGGCAGAATTTCTTCTGTTGTTTATGATTCTGATATCAGAATTAAGAAACATGTTTCTGTTTCTATTATCGGGGTGCCTAGATCCTTTCTTTATTGGTTATGCAAAGCTGGTTGGTACAGGGTTCAGGTTCTCTCGGGTTTAATTTGGAGGGAACTGATGACTCCAATGGAGGTTGAAACCCACCTTCTCAGGCTGTCTTCTAGGATCTCAGCCTTAGCCTACCAAAGCCAGACCTGCCCTGGGGCCTTGAGAGGGGCCTCAGGAAATCCCAGGTAGGGGGATGGGGATGGAGCAATTAGGGGAAGCTCACCACCACCGCTATGTGGAGGCAGGATTAGGGGGTGCGGCTCTCAGGCAGTGCCCTAAGTTCTCAGGCCCTCTGCCAGAGGGAGGCCAGAGGGAGGTCAGAACTCTGTCCGGCGGTCTGCTGATCTAATATTTTCTTTTCTTTTTTTTCTTTTTTTTTTTTCTCTTTTTGAGACAGGGTCTCCCTGTAGCCCCAGCTGACCTGGAACTCACTAAGTAGACCAGGCTGGTCTTGAAATCACAGAGATCTGCCTGCCTCTGCCTCCGGAGTGCTGGGATCAAAGGCATGTGCCATCATGCCTGGCTTGATCTAACATTTTCTTACAGTCACCCTCCATCCACCTGCTTCACTGTTAATGTTTGATATTTTACAATTAATTGACATTTGGGGAGCTGGAGAGATGGCTCAGGGATTAAGAGCACTGGCAGCTCTTGCAGAGGACCTGAGTTCGATTCCCAGCACCCACACGGTGACTGACAGCCATCCCTAGTTCAAGTTCCAGGGGATCCAACACCCTCTTCTGACTTTTGTAGGCATTGAACAACATGGGTTCACTTACATACACACAGGCAAACACTCATACACATAAAATTTAAATTAAAACATGTTTAAAATAACTGTTATGGAAATGGAGTCATAGAAGAAGCAGCTTTTAAAAACTGACATTTTAGGAAGCCGCAGCAGGAGGGTTTGGGGCCGTTCTGGACTGTATGGCAAAGCCGTCTCAAACAGAAAGATGATAAATTTTACAAACAGGAGTTTTCCCATAAAAATTCAGATTCTCTGGCTTTCCAGAAAACAAAAACCACCTGGTCTACATGACAGCCTTACCGAAGCCTAAGCACTTGTCTCTTGAAATTAGAAGCCCATCAGTGTCCACCACTCCCTAGATCCCCCACCCAGTTCCCAGGAATCTCCCTTCCATGTTAAAGTATTCAGGCCTGAGACAGCTTCCCCAGCTGGTCTGCGCACCTTGTCCACAGGCAGGCGTGGGAAAGGTGCCTTAGCCCTACCACGGGTTTAAAATGTGATGAAGAATACAGGGTATAAGGTTATGTGTCTTCTATGTTTTGTGAGTCCCTCACCAAGTTCCCAAAGAATGTAGAATTAGTGTCTGAGACACAGTAGGGGCCTAACCAATACATGTTGCATGAGTGAATAAAAAGGTGCGGAATAATAACGTGTCTTATTTGTCCGGCTCTTCCTAATGTTACTCGTACTACCACAATCTTCAAGGTGGGTCCTGCTGTCTTCCTATCTTACTGAGGAAAGTGAGACGTGGGGAAGTTAGGAAAATTGTTTAAGTCACATAGCTACTCTGAACTCTTAACCACTACTACATGTGCTGTCTCAGGCATCAAAGGCAGAACTTGCTCAGGGCCGAGGCTTGGCACGCACAGGGGCTGCCCTGGAATTTTAGAGAGAGCAGCAGTCAGGAGCATCTGGGCAATGAAGGAAGGTTCTATGAAGACTGGAGAAAGGGATTAGTGGAGGTGGAAAGGGGAAATATTTCTTCTGGTGACAAGCAGGCCCTGGGACAGAAAAGATGGCCAGGAAACTGTCCCATAGTGTATTGGGGCGGGGGTGTGGGGGGAAGACAGGATGAGTCAGTAAATGCAAAGGTTTTCTGTGTGTCATGCCCTGGATGTGCATGGGAGGAGACGATGAGCACTCCCCTTAAGGATCTACATCCAATAATTAGACAGATGCAAATATTTATGTAACTTTACCCCAGGACATCATGTGTTCAGAGCCAGAAGCGCTGTGTGGAAAGGTTCAAAAAGGGGAGATTGTTTCCCAATGAGAAAGGCAGAGCAGCATTTGAAATGAGCCATGAGGGCTGGGTAGGATTTCAGCCAGTAGAGTTGGGGAAGGGCACGCCTGAGGCGACAAGGTGAGAGCTGCGTCTTCTGGGGCCACAGTGAAGGGGCAATGAAGAAGAAACTGACCAGAAAGGTGAGGCCTGTGTTCAGAGAGCTTGTGTACTGAGCGATGCCATCATGGACAATGGGGGCGTTTATGGAAGGGAGAGGACCCACATGGCCCACTAGGAAGCTACAGAAGATCAGCTATTTTCAAATCCCAAACTTCATATGGAAGCACAAAAGACCCCCAACCAGCCAAACCAATCTTACTAACGCCCCTACCCTTCTCTTTGGGAAACATACATGGAGGACTTAAACTAAATGAATGATGCTGATGAATGAAAATACCTGACTTCAAACTACACTACAGAACCACAGTCACAAAAACAGTATGATACTGACACAAAAACACACACGCAGTGGAATACAGCAGAAGGTCCCTAGGCCTTGGGGGATAGCTCAGCCGGTAAAGTGCTTGCCGTGAAAGCATGAAGATGTGACTCTAGATCATCAACACCCACAAAAAAGCCAGGTGCATCAGCACAAGTTGCAATCCCAGTGCTGTTGAGACACAGTCAGACCCCTCAGGTTGACTAGTCAGCCACCCTAGCTGAATCCAGGAAGGACTCAAAAAATAAGGTGGAAGACCCCTCAGGTTGACTAGTCAGCCACCCTAGCTGAATCCAGGAAGGACTCGGTCTCAAAAAATAAGGTGGAAGCCGGGCATGGTAGCACACACCTTTAATCCCAGCACTCGGGAGGCAGAGGCAGGCGGATCTCTGTGAGTTCAAAGCCAGCCTGGTCCGCATAGTGAGTTCTAGGACAGCTGGGGCGAGATGGAGACCCTGTCTCAAAAAGACCAAAAAAAAACAAAAAACAAAAAAAAAAAGTTGAGAGCTACAGAGAAAGAGCATAGCAAGTTCCAGGCCAGCTGGGGCTACCCTGTCTCAAAAATACAACAAAAAAATTAATTAATTAAGCACCAAAAGAACACATAATCTAGTCAATAAGTAGGCAGATTAACTGACCAGACTTTGTTTTCTAAATTGGAAAGTACAAATGGCCAACAAATACATGAAAAATTGTTTAATAATATAAGTCATTTAATAAATGCACATCAAAACTACATTTTGATTCTATCTATCTCACACCAGTCAGACGCTCCATCACCAAATGTAGAGAAAAAGGAACCTGATGGGAATGTGAATTAGTTCAGACACTATGAAAACCAGTTCTTAAAAAAAAAAAAAAAAAAGCTATTCCATGAGCCAGGTTTGCCATTCCTGAGTATCCAGAAGAAACAATGTCAGCATGCCACAGACATACATTCCCACCCACGTTTATTGTGGTACTATTCACAACAGTCAAGGTGTGCAAGAAGCTGACATGCCCATCGACAGATGAATGGATAAAGAAAATGTAACACACACACACAATAGAGTTTTATTCAATAAGAACAAATCATATCATTGGCAAGAAATTGGCTGGTACTAGAGATTATCCTGTTAAAAACATAAACTATCTCACAAAGATAAGCATTGCATGTTCTCTCTCATATATGGAAATTAAGGGCCACAGAAGAGGACCTGAGCATAAAACAGGGGGCTGTAGGTGGTACTCTTGTTACTGCCCAGCCTGCTGCCCCTTGCCATGTGCTACATAAACTTTGCTTTCCGTTGCATGGTCGAAAGGTGAACTGATTAAGTACCACCCCAAAAGAGAATGTGAAAGAAGAATGCTTAGAGATGTAGAAAGAGAAAGGGAAAGAAAGAGGGGAGTAAGTAATAGAGGGAAGAAACCTGATCAAAGCACCCTAAATCCGTATGAGAATGTGAAAATGAAATCCATCTCTTTATACAGTTAATATGTACTAATAATAATTTTTTTGGTCTTTTTGAGACAGGGTCTCCCTGTAGCCCCAGCTGTCCTGGAACTCGCTATGTAGACCAGGCTGGCCTTGAACTCACAGAGATCCGCCTGCCTCTGCCTCCCGAGTGCTGGGATTAAGAAACATTTTCCTCACAAATTTCTGGAGAACATGGACCTCAGTTGGAAACAGGATGTAAAAGATTGATGCTGAGGGCCACTGGAATCACATCTGCGCTGAGATCTCTGCTCACTCGGATGCAAGAGTGAGGTGTGGTAGGAAATTCCCTTAAAAAAGAACCAGGATGGCAAGTTCAGTTTCTGCTAGATCACCCTCCAGCTATGTGACCTTGCTTGGGTCTCCTTCAGGCCATGAGATTCATTTATAGTGCAACAGGGTTGTCACCTCTGAGGTGACTTCTAACACTAATTCTGTTCAAGAACTCCATGCAACCCTCCACCTTTCCTGAGTGTTTCTGAGAGCCAGGCAAGCACAGGAGAAAGGCTCAGTCCCTAGCCCAGGGGACAAATTGCATAGGAGCCAGGGTGGATCGGCCTCTGTGGATCCCCAACCAGCCTCTGGTGGTCCCTTGTGGGGACAGGAAAATGAAGGGTACCAAAAGAGTGGGGTCTGGCTGGCTTGCTCAAGGAGAGCAGGGGGGAGTGGGTTGTAGGGGAAGTGAGCCAACCAACTCTCTTCCTCCCAAACCAGCTCCAAGCCTAGGGCTGGGAGTTTCACAAAAAAAGAAAAAGAACTATGTGAACATTTCCTCCTCCACCCCAACTCTCTTACTGGCAGGGTTACCACACTGCTCACCTGTGAAGCAATCTTTCCCAGGGAGGGCCTTGTGTCCAGCCAGGGGATGCCTATAAATGATGGGCTGCCCTGCTCTGCCACTCTGTGTGGCTCCTCCTCAGCTTTTGTAGGTAAGTGTCAGCTTCCCTACAGAAGCCTGCCTGCCAGTTCTTTCTTTCCTTCTCTTACCCAGATTTCTTTCAGACACTCCTTCTGGAAGCCCTCTTTGGTTAACCCTCTCCATTTTACAGCTTCCTTCACATTCTCTATAAAAATTCTTTGCTTTTTTACATTCTCCAGATAGCCAAAACTCCAGTTTGTGTATGTGTGTGACAAGCTGTCTCCCCATTAAGTGGCACCCTGTCCTTTCCTTTTATTTTGTGTGGCCAGAGACCAGGTCAAGGAAGCTTGGCAGCCAATTGTTTTACTTGTAACCTTTGCTTCTCCATTCGTCAACAGAGTGTGACCTGCATACGTATATCTTGCAAAATGTCCCAGCTGGAACGCAGCATAGAGACCATCATTGACACCTTCCACAAACACTCTACGAAAGAGGGGCACCCAGACACCCTGAGCCAGAAGGAATTCAAAAACGTGGTGAATAATGATCTGCCGAACTTCCTCAAGGTAGGACTTGGTTTGTAAAGGAGGAGGGTGCAATCTGCAACAGAAAATTCTAGCACCTTCCACCCCGGGGGCAGCTGGGCTCTGTTACTAAAGGTACTCAAAATTAGACACTGACAGACAGGAAATTGCTCAGCTGAACATCTGCAGAGTGTGATGCCCTGCTTTGGGCACAGGGAGGTAGACGTGAGCTTTGAACTCCCTAACCTGATGGTGGAGGCGTGCAGACAAATCTAATGCTTTGGTTGTCTGGAGGAACATAAGGTAGAATCAGGTGTGTTCAGTGCTATGTGGCACAGAGGTGAGTGGTTACAGTGAACAAGAGGGACCTTGTACTTTGAGGAAGTGACATTTGAGCTGAGATCTGGTCCCTAGTAAAGGATGTGGCCAGATGTTGTAAGAGTTGGCAGGTTCAGTTGTTTCTTCGAGAAGGACTCTAAGATTGGTTACCCTTCAGAATAACTTTCTTTAGGAGAGAGTGCCTTGAGATCATAGGAACCATGGTAGGACCTTATGTGGGTCAGTATTACAGGCATTATGAAAACATTAGAGGAGATAGCTTAAAGTGAAAGAGAAAGAGATAGCCACCCTGGACAGCATGGGGCTGGGGGACACCTGAAAGAGAGAGAGAAGGGGAAGGCTCTGAGAGAAATCCTTTACTTTTATAACTTTTCCCCAGGGGTAGGGAACCTACCCATAACTCAGAGGCCTCAGAGTTGTTTGCTTCGAGCTGCAAAGTAAGGAAGAGCATTTGTTTCCAAGTACCTGCTACAAGGGCTTGGCCTGATTTCTCTAGGCTGCAGAGCTGATCTCTGAGAGTGGCTATCGTCTTAAAGCGGTGGGCCCATGATCCAGCCCTCAGGATGGCACCTGGCCAGAAACTGAGAGGCACTAAGCCTCAGCTGGGGACTTGGGCAGACCCGAAGAGTTGCTCTCATCCTGGGAGATCTAGGGTAGAAAATGCAGAAATAGCTGGGCATGGTGGCGCCAGCACTCAGGAGGCAGAGGCAGGCAGATCTCTGTTGAGTTCCAGGCCAGCTGGGGCTACAGGGAGACCCTGTCTCAAAAAGACCAAAAAAAGAAAAATGTAGAAATAAAGAGCATGCTGAACAGGTCAGATGTAGTGGTGCATCCCTTAATCCCAGCACTTGGGAGGCTGAAGCAGATGGATCTCTGTGAGTTCAAGACCAGCCTGGTCTATATAGTGACTTCCAGGCCAGCTAGGACTACATAGTGAGACTCTGTCTTAAACAAACAAGCAAATAAAACAGAACATTCAGGAAATAAACACAGCACTGGCATGCAGATAGAATTCAGTCAAAGACTAGTAGTTTTCCTTGCTCAAAAAGTGATTAGACGATTTCTAAGGAAAGGTGGGATTCGTTCCTACAGCCTTTGTGAGAAGGATGAGACACTGTCAGTTCTATTCTCACAATCAGCTCTAACCCTCCCTAGGGGGAGACCGCCACTGCAGGAGGTATTAGGGAACACAGACCAGACGTCTCCTCATAAATGGGGAGCTCAGGCAAGCAAGGTGCTACTTCGGGATAGACAGAGGGTACACAGGAAGCTAAGTGGGCAGGTTTCTTCTCTGTGTGAGCTCACCATGAGGTCTACCCACTACCTTGACATTCTCTGCCAGAAGCAAATTGATGAGTTGAGGAAACTGGGACCTGGAGCATGAGCCACAGGTCCAGAAAGGGGCTCAGCCTAGGTATCCCAGCCAGTGAGCAGAAGGCTTGCATGTAGCTGGTGCTCTCTGCCATACCTGGATCCTTTTGCCTCACCCAAGTCTCTTGACACTTTATCACACCCTTTGGGGTCAGCAGAGCCTCTACCCCACTCTACCCCTCAACATCCTGAACTGCCTGGTTTTCTGAAGTACTTTCCCACTAAGTAGCCTGAAGGAGCTAACTAGTAGCTTCCAGGGAAAGGGTGACTGAGAAGTGTGGTCAAGGCTGAATTTAACCCCCCTCTCCTCTGTCCCATCCTCTATAACCTGTAAAAAAAAAATCCACCTTTTAGAAGGCCTGTTTCCATTTCTGCCTGCAAAAGTTGTTCTAAGGTCCAATGAGGGACAGCTCTAGACCTACTAATTATCTGACCTTCTGTAAAACAGAGTCCTAGTGCCCAAGTTTGAGGGCTGCTGGAGAACAAATTGGGAAGTGTTTAGCATATGCTCAGTGTCTGTTCCATTGTGACTACTCAGTCCATAATTTTTATCCTTTAAATTGAGCCCCAGGGGCCTGGTTTCCCCATGATTTTGCCGTCTGGTAACTCCCTGGTTCTCCTCCCAGGCCACACTCACCCCTAATAGCCTTCTCTATTCCACCCACAGAAGGAGAAAAAGGAAGACAAAGTCATAAATGACATCATGGAGGACCTGGACACCAACCAGGACAAGCAGCTGAGCTTCGAGGAATTTACCATGCTGATAGCAAAGTTGGTCCATGCCACCCATGAGAAGATGCACGAGAATAACCCTCGTGGGGACAACCACAGCCACGGGAAAGGCCTTGGGCAGTAATCAGGCATTTAAGCCTCCTTAGCCTGCCCAACCAAGGCTACAGGAATTGTCCTGTCACAAGGCCTTGGTTGTGGGACTGGGAGTTGATAGAAATAAAACTTTTCTCCATGCCAGTGCTCTGTGTGCTGCTTGTGTCCTCTTCCAGACCATCCTTCCCAGGGGTCTGGGCTCCCACAGCCCTGCCCATGTCTACAGCTCAAGTCCTCCATCCAGTCACCCCGAAATGAGAACCAGCAACCTGTGGGTCTGTCTTGAGCCCCTTATGCTCACCTCCCCTACCACATCTCCATCTTTGACATTAGGTCTTACTAATCGGTTCCCAGTGCCCCTGTCCAGCCTGTCAACATGGCCTTTGTCACTGGAGAAAACGAAAGCATCTGCTCCCTTCCCCTCAACATACAGCCACCCTTGGCCTGATTCTGCTTCAGTCCATACCTCCCTCCCCATCTCTCTCTCTCGTTCCAACTCTATTCCCTGGATAGTCTTCCCAAAATGGACCTAAGCAGTTCTGTGTCTCGGGAGGTATACTTGAACTCAGGCATTTTGAGCAATGGTATATGAGGAATGAGTACCTGAAAACCTTTTTCTGAATCCAAGAGAGCAGCTGAATTTCTCCCAATAGAGTCACCGTGTATGTGTGACTAAACGTGTGCACTGGGCAGGGCCATGGGTCCTCACATGAGTGGAAGTGGGAGTCAGCCCCAAGTCCAGTCAGCGGGATGTTAGTGAAAAGAGCTCTCACCTACACGGCAAGAGAAATGAGCTCCAACCCTGACTCTGCTTTGAAGTTCCCTGAGTTCCAAAAGGAGCTTGGGCTTGGGCCCCAGAGCCTTTGGAGACTAAGGATTTGAATTTTAATTTGCAAGGATCAGATTATCTCCACATGATGATGGGAACTCTTCCAGTCCCTTGTCAGTGGCTAAGAGTTCAGGACAGCAAGCACATGTGTTCCTCTGCAAATTCTATGGTCAGGCTTGGTCCAGCTCCCCCATGGCTGTGGTCATTGCTCCCACTCACGTGACCTCCATGTTCCTATCTAAGAGATACCTGACTGACTTTATTACAGAAATTAGGGTCAGTGCCTCTCCCCTTTCAGTCCTAACAAGCCAGGCTCAGCCACCCATCCCAATAAGTCAATTATAAGAACCAAGTAAATAGTGAAAAGCAAAAAAAGGAGTTTATTCAATGTGGCCATATTGGGAAGAAGGGCAAAGAGATCCAATGATCCCCTTAAGTCCATCTTAGAGGTGACATGAGGTTTAGGTTTAAGTACAGAGGCAGAGTTATGTATAGCTAAGCAGTCTTGGTCAAATTGTGGTCCCACCTACCCTGTTTGGGCTCCCATCTCTCCTGCAAGGTGCTCTGACAAACCACATTGTAAAATCTCTTTCCAGAAGACAAGTTCCTCCTCTAGCTAGCACCAAGCTTCAACCTTTCTCTTTTCTCACCCTGAAATTCCTGAGGGAAATCCCAACTCCTTGGGGTGCCTTGTTTCAATAGTCTGATGGCCAAAGTGAAGGGTATAAATGAATATCCTGCTTTCCAGGCATGCCAGCTACAACTCCTCTGTCACCTCACTGTCCTCCAACCATCAATCCCTTCCTAGGTTACAAACAGTTGGGATGCGCCTTCCAAACCCCAAATCCCAAATCAGTGTCCTTCAAACACGTGACGATCTTTCCGGCAGGGTGAAGAATCACCGAAGTAAGATTTAGAAGCACTAGAGGAAGACTGGTAATCTTCAGTTCACAAAGGGATAGCGAAGGAAAGAGACTAGTCCAAAGTCAAGAGTAGTAGAGTTGGTCCAAATGGTGCAGTGAGACAGGGGCTTGAATTCCATCAGTTCCGCTGCCTGGATCTCCCAACCCTTCTCCAGGGGTGAGCATCAAGAGGCAAAGCTGCCAAAGTCAGATTTCAGCTCTGGCCCTGCTGCCACTCCACTCTAAAGACCCCTGAGGATGCTCCTGTAGGTGTGAGGATTAAAGGGACCGAGAATTAACTAAGCCGTAAATTTGGATAGCCAATTTTGGAAGCCTGGTGCCTGCCTTGGAGACCTAGCAGCTGGGGCCATTCATCTTCTAACCCTACTCACATCTCTTTGCATAAGCTTTCTGTTGGGAAAGAAACAGACTGAAAGCGGCAGGCTCGGGGGATGGGGTACACGGGTCTCCTCCACCTCTCTGCCACCACTGTTTATCACAGTGTGTCATAGATGTGTCTGTGACTCCATCTCTCACACCAGACCATGAAGTCCACAAGCAGAGTCCACACCTCTTTCTTGTTCTCAGTTCTGTTCCCTTTAACCATAATCAGTGCAGAAGCATATAGAGGGTTTCCAACAAATAGCTTATGAGCGTTCTAAAATTTCTCTCGTGTTCCATGCTGTTTCCTCAGGGAAGGGTGTGAGGAAAAGGACAAGGGAGAGTGAGGATTAAAAGATGCGAGAGCAAGTCTCCTGGATGATCATCACAAACACTTGGATGGAGAACGGGGCCAGCACAGCACACTTACAGGAATCTGAAGGCTCGTCCCCTTTAGTCCCATCAGTCCAGGTCTGCTTCTCTGTCACATGCACTGGAAGTTTGAATTTGAAGAAAGATCTGTTGTGAAAAAAAGTTTGAAACTATCGATTATTAATCTAACCTGCTCTACCCTCACCCCCTCCTGCCTGCCTTCCTCCAAGAAAGGAATGTCCTCTTTTGATGCTGACACTCCTAACACCGATTACATTGGCCAGAACCTCCTCATGCCTGCCAGGCATAACCCTAGCTCCCATCCAACCACCCCTTGGCATCCTTCCTTCCATCCATGCACTCATACATCCCTCGCTAGGTGACTGTGGAGAAGCCTGCTCCCATCTCTCCATGCCCTGCTCTCCTTTTCTGAATTCTGTCTCAACACCCACACTTAAGACTAAGCATATTACCTTAATAAATTCAAACTTTTCTGAGAAATAATAGTAATACTTGCCCTAGATGACACCCAACTTTCTTCAGCCTCTTCACCTTTGTGCCAACAATGTTCTTCCCCATCCTCGTGTCTCTAATGTGTCCCTAAAAATCCACCAATCACAGTCTGTGTCTCTGCCTCCCTGAAGATGAGCCCAGCCATCCACTTCTCAAGAGCATACAGGCTCCCTTCTGTAGGCCTACAGAATTCTCTAATACTTCTACAGTTACACTTAAAATACTGAACTATAACCTGCGATGGCTGGTTTTGTTTGCCAATTTGACCAGACTCACAAATGTCTAGGACTGGTGAAGTGTGCCTCTGAATGTGTCTGGTGTTTCCAGAGAGGGCTGGCATGTGAGGCAGTAACTTGGAGGGAAAGACCACCCTGAATATAGGTGACACCATCTGGTGGATTTGGAGCCCAGATGGAAGAATATTGGAAGAGAGAAAAGTCAGTGTGCCTATGCACACCGTTCCTTCTGAGCAATCTGTCCATCACTGTTCCAATCACCCACAGCTATCAGACTTTAGCTTTTGACCTGAGCCTTTCAGCATGGATCCAATACCAGCAACACTCCAGGGATCTTGTAGGGTTTCAGCATCAGACTCCAGAGACTTCCAGCTGCTTAGACTGATCAGCTACTGGGTTCTCAGCCTCTCCCCTGTGAAGAGAGAGTTGTTGGACTACCTAGTCTCTTACCTAAGTGCAATAAATCCCCTTTCATAATACGTATTACATATAAGAATATACGTCTATATTCTTTTGATTATATTACTCTAAAGAACCATAATACATAACCCCAAATTTGTAAGTCTTGATTACAAGCTCCTGAAAACAGGGACTATACTGATCTGCTCCAAACTCCTTGATTCCAGTGCAGAGCAAATTCTTGGTTATAGATGAAAAAAAGAAGGTAAGACAGAGTAGAGCTACATGAAGCTGGGGCAGAGAGAGGTTCACGTAGGGAGGATGCAGCACCCGTGTTCAGTGGCTAGTGGGGGCAGCCTTGAGGAACCATGCCACCTGGGGACCTGGAAACTGGTGAAGGGCAGAGAGGGAGGACATTCCTAGGTGTCAAGAGTGTTTCTTCTTGCTTCATGTCTCTCTGAACTCTGAGCGTTTAAGCGATTGTTCTAGAACGCAGACAGATATCTCATAACAGGTCAGAGCCCACAGGATGTTCTGTAAATATAGTTAAATGGAGCAATCATGGTGATTTTGCTCCTTGCTTCCCATTGGGAGTGCGGACTGGTTCTGCTGAATAAAGGGAAAGGGCTTCTCTTAGATAGAAATGTGTTAGGAGGAGTGTTGCTGTCAAGGTTAAGATCCCCACCCACATGAGAATTGGAGGCCACCACCATGATTAATCAGACTTTCGGGAACTGTGAACTTTAAGGGTTTCCTCCAGCATCATAGTGACTAAAGGGCAGAAAGAACCTGTCATCAAATGATCATCCCCAACTTCCCACAGGGGGTTGCCTCCAGTCTGGGAGTTAACAGTGGAACCTGAATTTCTAGGTGTCTTTCTGGGTAGAATGAGGAAGAATTGGTGGTGACCTGAGCTGCTGGATTCTTTTCAGACACATAACAGTATCTGAATGCGATCCAAGTCTTGGGTGGAGTAGGAAGTCTCTAGAATTGTTGAAAGAAACCAATTTCCTTGCCCATCTACCTTTTTGCCCACTTGTTCACCCACGAAACATTACTTGGACACTTACTGTAAGCTGGGCACCACACAATTCTCCAAGGAGCCACTGCAATGAATAAGGCTTGACCAGGAGCTCCAAGGCCTACAGGGAAGACCAGGCAGCTCCTTGAATAACTCTAATATGGAAAATGAAAAGCCAGGGTGTGGTGCTAGGTGCCACTTTGAGGTAGGAACAATACACCTCTGCAGGACTGTCTTTCTGAAGGGGAGATACACATTTTCCCCAATATCAGAATTTTCTGATATTTCTACCACTATGCTTAAAGCACTGAATTGTAACCTGTGATGGTTGGTCTTAGTTAATGAACGCACCTCTGAATGTGTCTGAGGATTGTTTGGTTCTTTTTTTCTTTTCTTCATTTTTAAAAACAGTATCTTGGTATAAACAATATCTTGGTATAAGCCCTGTAAGACATAAAATTGAATGAGTCTCCATTTCATTTTAGAATACA